CTCATCTATTTTTCCAAGGTCTAGAAAAAACACAGATCAAATATTTCTCCTTATTTATAGCCTAAATGGTATAAACATATAACAAGTTTTGGTTGGCAGAATAATTCACTTTTTTCAGTAAATAAATAAATTTTTGTTCAGTTCCACAAATAACTACAGATAATTGAGAATGGATGAGACTGTTTTAGAACAAAGCAAACAAACCAAAAAAAGCAAGGAAATGAGACTAGAGAACTTCCTCCCTCTCTCTAGCTCCCACTCTACCAGAGCAGTTCCCAAGAGCCTGCCATGCTCTTTCCATGCCGAATTTCACAAGTAAAATAGCAAAAACATAAAGAAGCTATTTAGTGCCATTCGCTTGCATTTTGAAATGAAAATTAACTTCATAACCTTTAACAATCAATGGCTTCAGATAACTGAAACAGCAAGGGAAATTTTGATCTCCAAAATGTGATTCCCCAAACCACAATTGGGCCACGACCTGGGGACTTACAGCCACATTTCTGAGAATAAAGTGCCGGCTTCCCTTGTACCTTTAAGTATTACAGTCTTACTTTTACCTCTGAGAGCAAAGATTAGCACTAAGCCAGTCTTTCATTTCCTTTTGCTCCTGAGAGGAAACACCAAAGCTTTTCCTGGTGTTCACAGCATTCCCCTTTTTCGCACTTCTTCCATTTATTTTCTGAATCTTGGCAAGACGCTACGCTAGTCTGTATAACCACAGGCAACAGTACTTCAACTGCTAGACATTAATACATCTGTTTTAGTCACTCATCCACCCCCAAAATTGACAGTTTGAAGAATAACAGCTTCTAATGCATGAAACTTAGCTAAGCCTGGACAGCTGTATCACTGAACAACCTAAATTTCCATGTCAATACAACCTTGCTCGACATAAAGCACTTCAAGTATTTTATCAGTTTGTCTGTGAAAAGCATCCCATCTCTTCAGAGGTATAAAGCAGGGAAAGGGAAGCATGTTTTGTCTAACTATGAATTTACTATGCATAGCTGAGATGCACAGCTTAGAACAGCATCCATAACTAAAATGAAATGAAGAGCCTCTGTCAGGTGTGAATTGCAGGCACTGACCATACTCCCTTCTCTCTTCCAAACACTCCTCCAGTCCAGCTCAGTATGACACCTATGAGAAATATATAAACTGTTCCTCTGAGAGCTACTGAAAAGCCTACAAAAAATAAACACAAAAATCTCCAAAAATAAGAACAAGGAATAGTTTTCCCTCATCACTCCCCAGGCCCTACATCTCCCAGGTAGTCAACTCGATCAAGAAATGCAGACATCCTTCACTGCCACGTCCTGCCCAGCTGGTAACTGCTCTCAACACACACTATCCATGCTCCATATTGTCATTGCTTCAAAGTTTGATGAGGGTATGAAAACGAGACAATGGGTCACAACTACACAAACTGAGAAACAGCACCAAGCATATGAACAGAAAAACAGATTCAAAGAATCACAGAATGGTTTGGGCTGGAAGGGACCTTAAGGATCATCTCATTCCAACCCCTCTGCCTTGGGGGCAGGGAACCTTCCACTAGAGAAGGTTCCTTCCTCTCATCACAGAGGAAACCATGGGATATGTAATTGATATTAAAAGCAACAGTATTTTAGACATATTTTTTACCTGTAGTTCAAATTTAATTTATTGTAGAGTTTATTTGAAGAACTGGTTGGCCGAAGATACCATTTACATCCAGAATTTAGAAAAATTTAGGCTTGGAACTGTGGGGAGAAAGATCATCTTAAAGCAGGTGGGACAGATCAGACAGAGAAAAGGCTAGAAAAGAGGAGAGTTTAGTAACAATGGAGGAAGGATCTATTTTCTGGGACTCTACACAGCTATGGCCAACACTATTCTTGTTCAGTTGAAGGAGCTGGGCCATTGACTTCAATAAAAATAAAATTTGGCCTTGAAGTTGTAATGAGCTATTTATTAATTAGTATGCCCTAAATGTTCAAGAAAAGCTATTATTTAATGTGCATTATTCGTTTCTCCAATCTTCTTTAAATGAAAGTTGATTGGATTGATGATAGGATTGAGAAATACAGACTCTTGCCATCTTGAAGATGCCCAGTTACATCCTTTTTGCTTAAATTTCATCAAAAGCTAGTACAAAAGGGATGTCAATGACAAAAAGAGCAGAGCCAAATGCATCTGGTTTTCCTGAGTATAATTGTAGTATCAAGTGCCTTGTTGGGTTGTGTCTTTTAAAAACAAAAACAATCCATTGTGATACTTTGGAAAGGTTCCTTCTCATCTGCATGGAACTCATTTGAAAAGGATGATTTAAAACAAAAGAAACATTATCCAATATTAGAAGTAACCGATAGCAATGCTCATTAATGCAATGCACTGAAGGCTCAGTCTCTGCAATTGTATTGCATAGCTAAACTACTGTAATTAAACCATAGCTCCTCTGTGTTATTTAGCAAAGTAAATAATTACACTGTGCCCCTGAGCTTTATTGTGAATTTGTAGCATCAGGCAGAAACCCTTCCTGTCGTTCCTAAACCTCCATTTTATGGGACTGTACTCCCATAGTGTTGCCCTGTCACTGTTCTGAACATCAAAGGGACTGCACTGACACTTTACCCTGCTGTGTTCCACGTGGGGAATACCAGTCCCTGCACTGCCTTACACATGTGTGCATCCGTATCCAAGGCAGCCACCAAAACTTCAGACCTTCCAGGCAGGTCTTAAATCCTCTGAATGGGTTTATTTCACAGGGTGGGAAAGGCAGTGTTTCCCCTAGGCACCAAAAAGGGTCTGGATTCATGCACATACTACTGTTTGACTTTTTTTGTCCAGAAGCTTAAATTTTAGCACAGCAGGACTACAGTCACTTGCAGCATCACTCCTCCTTCAATAAGCACTCCTGTTATGGGCAGAGCCTCTACCCTAATCTCTCAGACTGCAGGATGGCAACAGCCAGTTGGAGAACATCCAGTTTCCTACAATCTGCTTATACCTGACCAGCTAATTTAACTAAAGATGGGGAAAAAAAGAGCAACTGGCAATAATATTTTTAAAAATTAATTAATTAATTAATTGTTCTACGCCCCCTCTATCCCTGAAGATTTTAGGTCACGCTGAGGGGGCACATATCTGTTCTGGAAGCCCCAGAAGTAAAGCAGGGCTGGCAGGACTACACCTTCATCCCAGCCCAGTAGCTGTAACAGGACTGGGACTGCACAAAGTGGCAACTGGTCCATTTTTAATTGCTCAAACATCCAGCATCCTTATAGGGTTTGTAAGGCTGGGAAGGGGAATCAAAAGTACAGTGCCCCAATAATCTCAGTATTCAAGTGAAAAAAATTGTATTCGCTGACATCCCAAAAGATGAGACCACTAACTCCCACATATCAGTAGGAAAATTCATCCAGGTATCAACTTCAGTCCTTCCAGTCTGGGAATTGCAGCGGTCTGCTTCTAAGGACGAAGATGTGGTTTCTCTTGTTTTCATGCTCCTCCCAGTGGCAGAAAGGAAAGGTCTGTCTGCTGGCAACAAAGCACAGACTTTTTTATCCTTCTCATTGGCCATTCCCACAGCCCCTTTCAACCAAGAGCCAGGATGGACTCCTCGTGATGCTCTGCATGCCCAGGATGGAACAGGAAAAAGCTCTCTTACATGACCATGAATTAATATTCCCCTGCCTTGGAAAACCTATGACTATATGTTAAATACAGTAATAGTAAAGGTGATGAATAAAGGCACCAAAGATAGGGAAAACAGACCCAAGAAAGAAAGAAAGAAAATCTTTCCACAGGATATTAGTTTTCGCTGAGAGACTCCTCATATTTGCAAGTAGCCAAATCAGCACTTTGTATCTACTTGCCCAGGACAAGAGATTACATTTCACTCCCTCACAACAGAGATTCATAAGAAAAGCTCTTCGAAGCTGGAGGTTATGCATACATACAGACATATAACAAAGCCCTGCCTTTAAAACTCTGTATTCAGCCCAGTATGGTTTGGAAAGTGTGACACTGGGCCAGGCTCTCAGGCAGCAGTGAGATGTTTTGTTGATTAGCCCAACACGACAACCCAAATGAACACACGTCAACAGCATTCCCGCGGCTTCCGCTGACTCTGCCGAGCTGCATCCGCTGTGTTCCTGGCCTGTTGTCACTCTGCTTCCCAAGGACTTGCAGTGACAACCAGACTACCATGGAGTTTTCTATCCATTATTAAAGACAGGATGCTTTTCAACACAGCTAAGAGTACATGATGAATGAAAGGACCACACTATCGTCCCTCTGTGCTGTCCTGTTGAAACTGAGATATATTATGTGCTCAAATATCTATATAAAAATACATATTATGTGTTCAAATATCTATATATCAAATATCTATATGTTACGCAGAGGAAGTGAGAGACCCAGCCCATACATACAGCACAGACCTTTCAGTCTTCATGGTAAATCAACCTCAATACATGCTGAGTGCTATAGAGAACACAGTAAAAGGCACTTTGCAGATCAGAGAAGGAAATGTCAATCAGAGTTTGTAAAGCATTTGGAGATCCTTCAAAATAAAAGACACTGAACTGTAAAATATTTCTGTGTAGATATTATGGAGTACCATCATTTCTCTTAGGAAACACATTTTGAAGCTGATACTCCAACATTAGTAAAGAGCTGAAGGATTTATTTTTTGCCCAGAGAAACTATTTTCACCTAAAAGTTCAAATCCTAAAGTAAACAGAAGTAGACTTCCTGCACAAGTAACACTGACAAGAGAAAGACATCATATAAAATAATCTATAGCTTTCTACAACTGCTATTAATCTTAGTGGATCCCTGCAGCTCTGCAGAGCTAATTAGCAACATATCCAAGATTTGGCATCACTGGTTAAATTTTGAGCTCAGAGTGATTCCTATACACCAAAATATTACCTCTCCAGGTAGTGTGTTGACTTTGAACATCTTTACTTAAGCTGACAAATGCTGTCACTGTCCAATCAATCCAAATTTTCCATGCACAAGCTTTTCCATCATTGCTGTCAGATCTCTGTATTCCTTAACAAAAGAGAAATAACAGAATATGGGATGGCAAAAGATCACATCTAAGCTATTATTTGTTTTACAGTAATAGGTTGTTAGAGTCTCTTTTTCAAGGTTGGCATTTACTTTAATGAATCACCTTTCTCCATAGTTGATTTTTAATGTACTGTGCCATGTTTCTCATGGAGCCTCACTCCCTTTTGCATTCCCTGTTGGCATTTAATTTACTGAAACAAAAGGATTGCCACTGTATCTTACAGTTAGATTGGGATGATTAAATGCCTACCACCATACTATTTTTAAGTAGCAGTTCATTTAACCTCAGTGAATTGTTACATGTACAATCCAACTTCATTGTGTGTTGTCATTTGATAAGTAAAATATTGTCACTTCTAACATAGATTAGGACACTCTAAATTGAGATTTCCTAATACATCAGAAAGTACAAAGTAGGACTGGAGGTGACCTAGGCCATTTACTAACTACCACAGGCTACCAGGCTGCACAATCCCATTTGCAAGTGCTGTTTTAGTAGTGGTTGTTTGACTGTTCCTCAGGCTGCAGTGAGGGTTCCAGAGCCTCATCACCAACAGGCACAACGGCTGTTGGACTGAAGTGGCTGCATCTCCGTTGCTAAAATATAACACAACTCCCCCCAAAACGGTTTTACAGTATAAAAGTGCTTGTGAATCCTAAACACTCTTGGAAAAGGTCGACATTTCAAACTGTAAGTTAGTTCCTTCACTTCGAGCTGCAGAAAGCGCACCTCTCACAAGGTAAATCTACAAATGCCAGCCCCAGGTACCTCTCACCTCAGGCAAAACCAGAGGCTATTAGAGAACCTGTGTGCATGCTGCTGGTACCACATAAAAAAAATAATTGGATTTTGTTCATAAACAGGTATCATGATGCTCCTGATAACTGCAAGTTTGCAGTTAAACATGGGCACAGGCTCTCCTCACAATTCCTTTCCACCTAGTCGTGGCCTGTATCAAAGTGTGATCCCAGATTTCTACCACCAAACACTTGATCCAAAAAAGAACAAGAAATCAGAGGAAGGTTTCCCACTGTCTTGGCTGGAGGTTGGACTAGGACCTTCAGAAGCGGGACACACATCGAGTTTGGATAAACAAGGCACTTACTCTTAGCAATTCATATCCATATATATTAGTCCCCAAAACCCACAACATTCCTTTTCCAGACCTCATGATGGACTATCTTTCCCTTTCTCTGGGTCTCCTATCCCTTGCCAACCTTTGTCTCTTTTAGGAGAAAAAGAAAAGGCTACAGAGTAGGCAAACCTGGTCATCTGGAGAGCTCTCCTTCCAGCCTGCAGGTGAACACCCTTTGGCACACATGGGAACACACACTCACCACTGCTCCCTGAGTCCCTGACAGCTCCCACATCACATTCCCACAAAGCATCCACTGCTCCAGACAAGTCTTAAGCTCTATTATTCAAACACTTAATGCATCCTTTGCCTTATTGGTCTTCATAAGTCAGATTATCTCATTAGTGCAGACATTTCACTTTTCCTGTCAGCTTCTGATTTCATTAAAGTTAGTGAAAGAAAGACAAGGAGTTATGTAAGGAAGGATTTGTCTTAAGAAGCTTTACAGACAGCAATCCCTCATCTTGATAATTTTTAACAGGTAGCTACTTTCTCCCTTTTTTTCCCCTCCTCCTCTCAGTTTCTCTTTTCATCAAAGTTCAATTAAGCAGGCTGACTGGATAGCAAAGTTTTTATAAGAGAAATCCCACTTCTCTTGCCTTTTTGGTTGATCTTTTCAAGCTCATCTTTAAACAGTGCTTTAAAATGTTGCTGCTATTATTAAAAAAAAAAAAAAAGGAAAAAAGGCCTTGATAGGTTGCAAATATGGTCCTTAGAGGTTCACTCCTTACCTCAGCCTCTTCAGAACTCAGCCCAACAATTCCTTTACAGCCAAGCTCTTCCCTAAGGAACTAAAATATACATGATATCTCTACTCTCTTCCCTTTTCTCCCCCTTTCTAATTTTCACCTAAGCCCTGTGGACAGAAGCTTCTTAGGCACCAGCAGGAGGAGGCAAGGCAGCAAAAGTTCACAAACCTTGCTACGTATAGGAAAGAACAGCATTCCCATGGGTGATGTGCACAACAACAGCAATAGGCCAGGGCATAAAATTCTCACTTCTACAACAAAATTGAGTATTCTCTATCTCAGCCATAAAAAAAGAAATCCTTAATATGAAGCTTGCTCCTGGAAGGCAGCAGAACATCTCCTTGCCTTTTACACCCTTCCTGTATTTGCCAAGTGCCCAAATCCATTACCTTGACAACACTGTGCATCACTGTAATAGCATGAGTCAGCCTCGTGGTTTTGGGGACCATAACAAAAGCAGACTCCCATCGATTGGCATGGAGCTCCCTGTTCCAAACTATAATTTCAGAAGGATACTTGCTTTAAATCTTGTAGCTCTCTGCTTTGGGTCTTGACAAACTTGTACATATACCAAAACCCGTGGCTTGTTTTATGGTCTCATTTTAATGGGCTTGTCTGTATTCCAAGATCCAGCAAACAGAACAGATCAAAAACATTCCATAAGGGTTTTCACTCACAGCTTCTTCCTCATCCTTCACATACCCAATCTTCATAGGCTGAGCCTACTGACTGCACCATCTCCCATTTCCAAGTGATGGTTGTGAAATTCTGTTCTGGACTAAAATCCAAGCATGCAGGAGTTTCCCTTAAAACCCTTTGGCATCTGTGGAACTGGACCAAAGGCTTAGACCAGTGAAGGAAGGAATTAAAGGAATAAACAAAAAAATCCCTGTACAACAGGGTTTCTATCAGAGGAACTACAGCTCCTCCCAGGTATCGATCCAAAGACAGGGTTGACTGCTGACTAGCACATCTTTGGCTGTCAAGCCAAGGAAGTAAACCAGTTACAATAATGACAAAAAATAACTGTCACCACGAGCACACAGCAGTTCATCTTCTTTTACAATATCCAGGAGAAAGGGGGCCAGATTCTTGTGTTCCAGCTTCCTTCCCTTGTCAGCATCCCCTTTTCAGCAGCTGTGCTGTATCTAGCTTAGATTATGGATGGACCTTGCTATGAACTTCTGGCTGAATACTCCTATACTGTCCCAAAGAAGCATGTAGAAAAGCTCAGGACATGCAGTGGTAATTGGATTTCTAATCAATAATGTGGGCTATGCATTGCCATGTAGTGTATCCAATGAGACATGGTTTGCTCCTTTTTGCCTTTCACAGGCTTGTGAATATCTCATATAGCACAAGGCTACAGTCCTGTAAGCCACTGACACTTAGAGCAAGTGCTAAAACAATAAGAGAGATGATTTCTATACTTGGTCTTAGTAGATATTAGGACATTATTAGAAAACAGGAGCACCACTGAGTATCAGTGCACTGTATGTGTTACATGAGAAAGATCTTACGTCACCCACTGAAGCTGTGATGTGCAACTGTAGTTTTGAGAGAAAGGACATGGACATAAACAGTTTCACAAAGCCATGTGGAAAGATGATGTCCACCCTGGTAACAAAGCAGGAGGTTAAATAAGACATGGGATGTGCTCCTGATAAGCCAAAATCCATTATAAAATCAGAAATCCTTGTAGGAAAGAGGCAGCTCACCTTGCCACTTCCATAGGGCTGCTGAGGTGCAGGGGGATGGATGGAGGCAGCAGGAGGGAGGGGAACACTGTAAGGGTAACATGAGCCTGAAGCACTCCACAGGCAGCAGAGAGGACACCCACACTGCCCTTGCACAGAAAAGCCTCGATGGGGATGACTGGGATTGTGAAGGGGTGGAAGACCTTGGAGGGCTGCTCCTCAGGTGTCTCAGGAGATCCCAAGTATTTCAGAGCCCTGAGCCTCCCATCTGTTCCTGAGAATGGGATGAAGGATCTAATTAAGGGAGATTAACATGATAGGCTCGAGGCAGCAGAGTCTCTGCTGGAGAAAACTCAGTTACCTGCTGGAGCTCTCTGAACAAGTTAATGCAATAGTAGAGAATGGTGAAAGGGAACCTAATTTCCTACAAGTTTTCAATAACTTTCCATGTAATAGAGCAAGGGCCCTGTCCTGTCCTTAGGGGATACAATGCTGTAGTTCAGTGAAGAAATGAAAGAGGAAAAAGATAAATCAAAGCAAGACACAAATTGTCTTTCAGCCCAATATTCTGGGCTACTTGGTGGTACAAGTAAGGATGCACCAAAGAAAGGGCCTGTTCCTGGCAGGACTTCAGTGTCCCAGTCTGCTCAGCACATGTTCCATCTCCAAAGCACAAGGATACCAATGACCAGGCTGTGCTGGGCAAACCAACCACTGCCAGAGGGCACTGAGAGGTTCTTCAGTCAAGTTCCAAGGGTGACTAACGGTGCTGCAACTGAGGCTCACAAGGCAACACTGCAAGGAAATAAATAGCACTTTACTAAAGGGCGAAATGAATGAAATAAGTGATCAGAAAACATAACCACTAAGGGCCTAGTAGAATTTTCTGTCATACTGCTGCAAACTTCAACAAGATTTAGGTACAAATATTACTAAAAATCGCAAGGAAGTTTATCTGCATTTTTAGTCAGAGAAGGAGAGTGTTTATTTCACGGTGTTCTCTTGATTGCTTCTCTTTCTATGCCTATCAAAGACTTCAGGTTCAGTTAAAGCTTTGCTGGGGAACTGAAAACAACACTGGTGCATTAGTCTCCTTCATCTGAGGACATGGTCCAAGCCAGAGTCAAACACATGGGTGCTGTTGTCTGCTTGCCTGAGGAACATGTACCATTCCTCCCAATGCTCTGTGAGGGTTCAACTCTCTCTGATTACTGTGTTTCTAAGTCCCTTGTGAAAGAAGTAGTTGTCAATATTCCCATTTTATGATTAAAAACTGAGGCATAGAGAGCCTAAGCAACTTGGCCAGGGTCACAGAGGGAGCATCTGGCTTAGCAGAGAGCTGAAGACCAGCTCCCCAGCACCAGGCAAGCAGCCAAACTCCTGGAACAGCTTCTATG